AGCAGGCAGGGGCTCGGCCCGGGTATGTGCAGCAGGGGCTGCGCCCTGTCACATCCCCCTGCAGGGCTGTCCCCTCCCCCCAAACCCACCCCACCAGCTTTACCGGGTTAGCCACCCCCATACCAGCCCACCATCAATCTCTGCACAACAGGCGGCTCTGGGGGGAGAAAGGGCCTTTTCTCTGCCCCACGGAGCTAATCCCTCCACTGTGGCGGGAACAAATAGCCCTTTGTAAAGGCCTGAAAAGGAGAGTGCTCGTCAGGGACCCAGCTATCCGCTGGCCAGCCCAGCTACCTGGTAGCCGGCCACCTTGGGGTGTTGCAGGACAAAACGCCTAGCCTGGATCATCTTCACAACATGCTGGTGTGGAGTCGAGGTTCATGACCACAAGCCCTCCTGGTGCTCGTGGGATCTATGTGCCCATGCCCGTGCCCCAGCTCTGCAGGACAGGGAAGCCCACGTGCCGGTGGGCATGCGATATGTAGTTCCCGGCTGGCACAGTACGGCTGTTCAACAAGCCACGAGGAGCCAGCATGGGCAGGACAGAGTCGGAGAGCACAGCCACAGGGAGCTCAGGGCATGCCCAGGAGCAGGTGTCCAAGCGCACAAGAGCAAAAGAATCAAAGCAGCCCTCGGGGCAGACATCCTCCCAAAAGCAGGTGTCTCACAGAGGACCAAACCATGCGACTCTTTGGGCACCCATATATGCCCACCAAACCCGCAGGGAAGCGGGTGCAGGAATTGCAGGAGGTCCCGATGCTGGGGCTCTGCATCCCTCCAGGTTGTGCACCTGGGCCAGCAGCCTGTCGTGCCCACCTGACCCCACACTGCCCTGACACGTCTCTGGGACCAGGTGGGGGCGCACCTGCAGTGCTCAGACAGCCGGCTCTGCCTGCGGCCGGCCCAGCCCTGCGCACAGCCTGGCTCCAGCCCGTCCCCACCGCCCTGCCCTCACCTGCAGTCACCTGCACTCACCTGGGAAGGCCAGTTTGAGGCGTGGCGTGGCGGGGGGCGGCGGGTGCCCAGCGCCCACGGCAGGGCTGCACAGCAGCAGGAGCAGCGCACGGAGCATGGCTGGTGCCTGGCTCGGCAGGCGCCGCGCTCACAGCCCCCGCCCTGACGGCTGCAGGGCAGAGGAGCGAGAGCGTCAGCTCGGATTACAGCCCCCCGCCTCCTCCCCGCGGCAGTGCGGCACCGCCGAGCGCGCCAGGGGCCCTGCCGCCGAGTCTCCTCCCCAGCGCGCAGTTGGCACTCGCAGCCCCGACCGAAAAGCCTCCTCCCTGCCCACTACCACCGGGGGTCCTGCCTTGCCCCGGGAGCCTGGAGAGCACGGGGCACTGCTGCCAGTGCTGCCCTAGCCCCACACGGGGCACCCACTGCTGCACAATTTGGCCCAGGGGACCCAGTGGAGCTGGCCTTAACCCAGGAAGGTCAGACGGGGACACAAGGCAGCAGCTTCTCCCCAGACACCACCATTTTTGCACTTCCAAACCCGCTGCAAAGCCAAAGGGCTCTGGGAGCACCGCTCCTGCCTGTGAGGAAACTGAGGCTGAGCTGGCCGAGCAGCATGCCCAGCTCTTGCCATGCCAGGAGGAGAGGGCTGGGCTCTACCTGCTCTCGCCTCTGAGTCCCAGGGGCACCAGGCAAGCGTCTGGGTTGGGGCCAACTGGACACCCAACCACGAGACAAGGCAACAGCCTCCTGACCATGGGGCAAACGGGCCAGCATGTGGCTCACCTGTCCCATGCCTCAGTTTACCCCTCCAACCACCAGGACACTCTACCTTCCTTTATGGCCCAGCAGGGCCAAGCCAGCTGCAGGCAGGAGCCAGAATCAGGGTGCTCGGTCAAAGGTACAGCAGGGCCGCCCCAGGGATGAGCAGATCTGGACACATTTATCTGCCGCAGCCCTCTGCCCGGCACACAGCCAGCGCTTGCCCCATGGTGGCAGCGGCAAGGCCCCAAGCGGCTCCCACTCCGCCTGTGCGGCTCCAGGGCAGTTGGCGCCCAGAGCAGCGGGTGCGTGGCCCTACCCGCTGGGAGTGGGAGTGTGGCAAGGGCAACGCCGAGCCTGGGTGCCAACAACATTTCGCCAACCCAGCAGAGCTGCAATAATCCAGCAGTGGGTGCAGAAGAAGCCCATGGAAGCTCAGCCGCGTCAGTCCCCCGTTACTCACTGCGGTCGGGTGATGTGTGCTCTTGCCCCGACGTTGACGGTGCTGCGGGCCGGGCCCTGCCACAGGAAGCAAGACGTGTTGGCAGCCCACTGCTGTGCACTCACCGCTTCTTCCGAGAGGCTGTAAAAGTTTATGACACGGATCGGGTGACAGGCAAAAACAGGAGGCAGCTGGTGAGGCAATAACCCTGCCGGCTCCGGCTCCAGCTCTGGCTCTGGCTGTCCCTCTGTGGGGGGAGAAGGAGCCGGGAGGAGCCGGCAGGGCTCAGTCAGCAGCTCGGCTGTCGGATGAGTTTCCCAGTCTCAGCAAGGGACGCTGCTCTCAGCCCTCCCAGAGGACTTGCCTGGTGCAGACGTGGGCTAGCCGTGCCAGCTCAGCCAGACCTGCGCTGCCGGAGCAGAGCCCGCAGCCAGCACCGAACCCCAG